AGACCATGTCAGTTGTCAAAGTAGTCTAATGTGCTCGTTCAATGATTGCTACACTGCAACTTTCAGTGATAGTGGATCTCATGAGAACTTACCATCCCAATGAATGCCAATGTTGGATCATCAATTTTGAAGACATGTTGATAGAGCCCGCTGATCCGCCTATGACGTATATTGATGTCAGACAAGAATGGGAAGCTGAAGTCGTAGCCGGTTGCAAATAAAATGATGTCAACCTCGGTTACAGTATGTCCGTCAGCAAACTCGACAACTTTGTTATCTGGATCGACTCGCACGATTGGCGGTCTGACCTCGATATCTGGGTGTGTGAAAGGTGCCCATCCAAATGCTGGCAGAGGCTTTTGCAACGACGAGATGACAGGACTCTTGGAGACGAGTCTAATATCATGAAGAGCATCAAAGGCTGAAACCGAGCCTCCGACAACAATAACTTTCTATTGTCACCGTCAAACTCTGAACGCCTTCGGTCATTGCATCCACTTACCTTATCCTGGTATGCACTAGCTAGACCAAAATGCTTACTGTGCCTAATCGTCCCTGGGTATCGATCCTCATACTCGGCCAGGCCAGGTATGTTAGGTATGTAGGGGATATTGTAGTGCCCTGACGCGACGACAACGGCATCAAAGCTTTCTTGCCACCAATAGTCCGTTTTCTGTCCTGGGGACTCTTTGCGAAGTGTCAAGATCCATTTATCGTCTTGCTTTTCGGCTTTCTCGACGGTAGTGTTGAATTCAACTAGCTTGTCGTGCCCGCCGCGGGTAAATATCTGCTCAACCCAGTCACGGACCACGCTCCTGTGTCTGAACGGCGCACCGGGCCCATACCGGGTCAATGTTTGCTTTGACAAGATCTCGGGCAGAGGCTCTTGTGTAAAGCACATGGTCGACGGCGGAAGGTTGCTATGCAACGTGTCATGCACGGCTGAGTCCGAGAACCTCCTCTGGTAGCCATTGAGCACCTCATCTCTGGGTGTTTTGCATGGAAATTGGGTTGGTATCTCAACTGGCTGATCGATGTTGTTTCCAATGAGATCACGGAGAGACGGGATCTGCTGCTGCAAGTCTGGGGTGTATACCCTATCCAATCAGGAGTTAGCGATGTCCAGTTTGGGGAATTCAGCCGCTTGATGCATGCTTGAAACTCGGTAAGCAGCTTAAGTGATAATCTTACCACGTGCCGCCTGGGATATTTCGCCTGTCAAAGACACGAACTTTCTCGAACGACTGCTCTTTGACAAGGGCATCTGTTGCAATTGCACCAGCAGGCCCTGCGCCAATGACGGCAACGCGACGAATTGGCTTTGTCATGGTACGTGTTGAATATCTCACCTTGAGTCTACTGAGTAGTATCAAGTGAAAAGATCTTTATTAGAGATCTGTTTTCTTTACTTCCTAGAATACATGTTGAGACCCTATTCAAACTTGTCTTACTAGTTCAAAGTAGCTTAGTTATCTCACTCGAAACCCCTGTAACCGCTACACCTCAAACAACAGTACTTCCGTATTTTCGTGCGAGTCATTAGCCAATAATCGGCAGGTTTTCGACTTCGCATGATCCTCTTACTAGTCTAGACAAGTTGCGTTTAGTGGCTTAGATAGCAAGTTCATATTTGAAGACTTCGCGTGTATAATTGGAATGCTTCTGGTAAAGTCTTGGCTTGACCTGGATGAATATCACGCCATTTAAGCTAAATGTGTCGAAAACACCAACATGGAGAATGGAGGTTTAACTATGAAGACCGAAGGATTCTAATCCATCCCGCGCTTCGGCAATAAGTCAAAATTATCAAAGAATTCCCGTACTGACATGCTTTAGTCTAGATGGCATCATTTCGACGGATCCAAAACCCCGGGATGCGGGTCTAGTCACTGCGTGGAACCTGGGGGTCTGGCTGACCTTGGTCTCTTCGCCCACCTGATAGGATCTTTTTGGCAACGATCGGACCAGGGACGTGCCAGATGTCTAGCCAGAGCAAGTAAAATGAGAAACGTGACTCTGGATGTTTTCAGAAATTTTGCTCTCATCTCCTCGACCTGCCCTTCTTTTTTAATTCCACAGTTCAGGCTATTACAATTGTTCACCAGGAAAACTTCGTTCCGTTGATTGATACAACCTGCTCCTGCCTTGTTCCACTGCAGTGCTATCAAGGGCCTTCACGGACAACGCTATGATGGACCAGAAAATTCAAGACGAGTTCGGCAACGAAGAAGTTGTACCGTATGAAAATGAGGAGCACATCAACATCGATCGGCAAGCAGAGAAGCAGCTACTGCGGAAGATTGATGTTCGTTGTTACACAATACCGAGGTTGAATTTTGACTAACTCGTTCAATAGACAAATATTCTTCCGTAAAGAACCCCTTGAAGCACCCTATCATATCATACTAACACTCGCTCAGCCTAATTATGCTCATTTATCTTTTCAGTTTTCTCGATCGGTCAGTTGCTATCATAGCCCAACTTTCATCCGCTCTACTTGCTAAACCCTTCGCTAGTGTGAACATAGGTAATGCTCGGTAAGCTGCGGCAAGCTTATATTATCTCGAAAACACCCCTGACCGATACAGACTTTATGGCCTTGAAGCCGACCTCCATTTGGTTGGAAACCAATACCAGATCTTGGTGTCCATTCTCTTCGCTACATACATCAGTTTCGAGCTACCGTCCAACTGGGCGATCAAAAGAATACGCCCATCTAGATGGATTGCCTTTCTCACTACGAGTTGGGGCATCATAGCCACGCTATCCGGCCTTACACAGAACTTCGGTGGCATGGTGGTCTGTCGGCTCCTACTAGGAGCCTTTGAAGGCGGCCTTTTTCCCGGCTTGGTGACTTATCTGACGTTCTTCTACACGAAAAGAGAACTCGCATTGCGCATTGCGGCTCTGTTTACCTGTTCGGCTCTTGCCGGTGCCTGTGGCGGTCTCTTGGCCTTTGGCATTGGTTATATGGATGGTAAACACCACCCCCCTCACCTACAACCTACGGCACCCGTAGTTGATGTTTACTTGCAGGTATCAGCGGGCAGAATGGGTGGAGATGGATTTTGATCATTGAGGGCATTCCCACCGTCATACTTGGAGTCGCAGCTTGGTTCGGTCTCGCGGATGACCCGTCTACGGCTCGATATCTAAATGTCGAAGAGCGAGCTCTTCTACATGCCCGGTTGAACCGACAAATGGGTCTGACCGAATCAGCCAAGCAATTCCACTGGGAGGACGTGCGTGAAGCATTCTTGGACTGGAAAGTCTGGGTGTTTTGCTTGGCCCAATTTGCTGTAGATGTCATGCTCTACGGTAAGCCCTCGGTCATCCTTAAATGAAGCGGTCGATATTAATTCCCATAGGTTATGCAACTTTTCTGCCTACCATCATAAAAGGAATTAATCCAAATTTCTCAAGGGAGTTGGTACAAGTACTCACAATTCCTTGCTATTCTCTCGGCGCGGTATCCTATATTGTGGTAGGACGTATATCGGATTGGCAGCAGCGCCGCGGCATTTGGGTTGTCATCTTGGGAACTATCTCCGTCTGCGGATATGGTATGCTCGTATCAAATGGTGGTGTTGCGGTTCATTATGCCGGATGCTTCCTTGTTGCCGCCGGCATGTTTGTGACCATCGGCTTACCATTGGCATGGTTGCCTACGAATATCCCAAGATATGGAAAGCGCACGACTACGATTGCCATGCAGGCGGCAATTGGTAACAGTGCAGGTATTCTCTCGAGTTTTGTGAGCTCGGCCTCGGATTTGATCATTAATGAAGTGAACGCTAACAGTTGCCTATTAGCTTTATCCGTCGACAGACGGCCCACGCTATGTCAAAGGTCACGCAATCACCATGTCTCTTTTAGCATGCGGAGTAACTTCTTTTGGCTTTATGTGGCTTTATTACACTTTGGAAAATAAGAGAAGGATCGCAGGCAAGAAGGACGACGGAATTGCTGGTATGACTGAATCTGAGATTGAAGAGCTTGGAGATAAGAATCCCAGATTTATCTTTGTGACCTAATTTAATATAGAGCTGTGTTAGAAACGTAGCCGTATTTCGTGTGAATGATAGACCATAGAAGCAATTGGAATGCGACACAGGTCTCAGTGTGTCAATAGGTCCTATATCACAGGTCGTGTAAGGAAAGTGAACTGTGCTTGACTGCCCCTTCTCGTCCTAGCCTAGTGTACATAAAATCCTGGTACAATTACATCTGCGCCTTTACTACGGCAGGAATGTCCTTGCAGTCGAGAAAATGGCACGATTTGGGATTCTTCACTGCATAAAAAACCCCTAGTGTTGTTGTCGCAAAATCCTCCAGGGATTGCACCATTTCGCCTAACACAAGGCGCTGGGGGTGCCAAGCGACAAGAGCCTCCGCTAGCATCTTACTAAATCATGCCCGTATTAATACCGCAGAGCAGTACAGACTTGTCTTATACTGCGGAAACCCCGAAATGGCAAGTAACCGATTGGCATATTGAATTGTCAGTGCCAGAATGTTAGAGCACTTGTTTCCTGGCTCATGGAGCCCTCTCTGGTTGTGGGTTTTCCTTGGCCTACTTCTTTCGTCCTTGATCAGGAAGCATTTTAATCAAGGCTTGAATAAGTATCCAGCTCCATTTCTAGCTTCTTTGACAAATTGGTGGAGATTCTACATCGTGGCGCGCAGGAAAGCGCACTTTTCCTATCTCAAGCTTCACAATGACCTGGGAGATGTGGTTCGACTGGGGCCAAATTGCTTGTCTTTTGCAGACCCTCGGGCAGTGAAAACAATATACGGCTTGAATAACAGGTTGCCTAAGGTACTAAACCACCCTCTGTTGGCGTGCTGGTCCTCTATGGTCTAATCAATCAAGATTACAGAGCGATTTCTACCCCGTTCAAATGCAAGTTTCTCGGGGCGAGATACTTCAGTCTCTTTTCGGCACCCAAGATCAAGACTACCATGGCAAACTCCGTCGACTAGTGAGCAATGCCTTTTCAATGAGCACTATCGTTCAGTACGAGCCCAGAGTAAACGAAACCACACGAGTGTTCTTAGACCAGACTGAGAAATTGTATGCGGCTCCTGGGAAAATTTGCGACTTCAAGCTTTGGCTTCAGTATTTCGCTTTCGATGTCATCACCGAAATCACATACAGTAGAAGAGTCGGGTTTATAGATCGCGGCGAGGATGTCGATGGGATCATTGAATGGCTGGACAAGCTTTTTGACTATTCCGCACCAGTGAGTGTTCCCGCTAGCATATGGAGACACTCACCCAATCGCTGACTTTCAAGTATAGGTTGGCCAAATGCCTATCATTGACAAATTTCTGGTCAAGAATCCTATTCTCATCATTTTGAGCAAGTATGGGTGGATTGACAACTCGTCTGGCACTGCACGCTTCTCTAAAGCGCGGATGACAGAACGTCTCCAGGAGATCGAGCAACGGAAAGCTACCGGAGCGAAGGACATAGGAGACCGTAGCGACCTTTTGACCATGTTTCTCAAGACCCAACGGGATGACAAGACTGGTTTCTTCAACGACAGTCGTGTGCTCACCATGACCACTTCAATAGCTTTGGCCGGATCGGATACGACGGCTATCACGCTGTCTGGAATTTTCTACCAGTTACTTAAGAACCCTCGATGCTACGAGAAGTTGGACAAAGAGATTAGAGATGCCATTGACTCTAATCTAATAGAAGACTTCGATATTATATCATGGAGCGACTCGCACAAGCTACCATATCTGGATGCATGCATTAAGGAGACTTTCCGAGTTCACCCTGCCATCAGCCTGAACCTTGAGAGAGTTACTCCACCTGACGGTATCGAGATATGTGGGGACTTTATTCCTGGCGGGACAGTTGTGAGTTGCAACCCGTGGGTGATTCAGCGAAGACGAGAGATCTTCGGGGACGACGTTGAAGAATATCGACCAGAGCGGTGGCTTCTCCCCGAAGGTGCTTCTATAGAAGAGCAGCAGCGTGTGAAGGAAATGAATGCTACTATGCTGCATTTTGGTGCCGGTTCGCGGACCTGTCTAGGGAAGCACATTGCTCTACTCGAAGTATACAAACTTGTTCCAAGCTTCTTGAAGCGATTCAAGGTACGTCGATGCGAAATGATTGTGTTGATGACTGTGATCTATCGATATGGTAATAAAGAAACAACGCGCGCTGATTATGGCATCATAGCTCCAACTCACTACTGATGAAGAATGGGACTTGCGATGTGCTTGGTTTGTGAAGCCACTCGAGTTCGACGTTAAGATCATCTCAAAGGCATAAAACTATCAGATCGTCCGTAACAACTAGGGAAAGAGTCATGATCAACATCAAAATTTGATCAAGAAATTCTAGTACTGCCCACAAGTGTTACTAGCAGCGTTTCTATAACTTAGCATAAGGAGGCTCGGTGAGGTAACGATGAGGCAGCATAGTCGTTGAGGGGTTTAGGCCTGGTATGGGCGTTCGTGATGGGTGCTGGGTACTCACGCCATGAGGCTCCGACAGTCAGGGTGGGCTTAATTGATAATACTTGCCGTCAAAATTGAAAAGAATGGGGTTGGCCTTGACTCATATCAATTATGCTCTATATGAAATCTCCCGAGTGAAGCGTTGATCCATGCTAAACGATTCTCCGCCGAAACCTCTGTTACTATTAGAAGCTGATAGAGGAAGCTTGACTGTGCTGGTATGGCTAATATCAAATCTACCTTGGAAGAAGAGCACAGGGGTCTCAGAATATATGATAAGGATGAGCTTTTGAGCCAAGTCTGCGTTGGGTCCAGGTGCGTCACTCCCGCACACACGTGAACACGAACCGCGATCGTACCTTAATTAAGAGGTTGCGCCTCGCTGGCTTTTTATCTTATCTACCTATCCTTCATTTCGAATTTCGATCCCATTCCAACCTTAAATATTATTTACCACGCACGTATCCTACAAACCTCCATGTTTCGTCGTCAAGAGGAACTCGTTCTGCTACGTCAAGCTTCACAATACACAATGAGTGAGTTCGCTTTCCTACCCTTATACCGCCCTAAAATGCATTTAAAGACCTTTAAACTGGTAAACTCTTGCTAGGAGCGCAGGCAGGCACCACACCTCCAATTCATTGTCATCAGCATAGCTCTGCTCACGTGAAAGCCGCTGTCTCCCAGCACAACACCTCATATATCTACCTCTCCTACTCTCTCAGCAGATTTTCTACCTTCACCCTTCAGTCTCAGACCTTCTACTACAGTAGTCTCTCACCATCTTTTTGTTGAATTCTGATCTTGAGAGCTTGATTCCGCCGTCTTATTAGACTCGAAAAGGCAGTCGTTTATCGGGTCAGTATCACCTCACTTTTACGGAGCTCGAGCTCCTGTTGCCTTACAACGATCCATCCCTTAGCTTGAGCCGTCACCAACCACGTGCCCTGCTTACCTCTTTTTCTCATATTTTGCCCTCACCCACCTGCTCAGCAGTCTTTCCTCCTTCATCCACCTACAAAGCTTCACACTCATCCCCAACCTTCCTCTACATCTCTGCAACTTCGACTCATCTCCTCAGCTCTGTATGTAGTCTATCGTCTTCACTCTCATGTTCACCTACCCCAGATGTTTCTTCCTTTACTCGCAGTTTGCTGAGTTTTCTCCCTTCGGAGTGTCATTATCACTCCTTGATTCCGCTGACTCGCCCTGCTTTTCCTTCTTGGTACCTGCCAGACTTTGAGATCATATTGTTTTATTTTGCACTGTTCTTTGCTTGCCTTAAACGGATACATCCCGGCTAACCCATTGCTTTCCACTTCAGAAACCTCAGATTCTATTCAGCTTCAACATATCACTTCCGACCTGTTAAGCCACTTCCAACCAGCCGCCTCTCGACAGCATCCTCTCGATGACCATTTGTGCCGCCGCTGGCCAGAGGGAAGTCTTCCTCTCCTTTTTTTTCGGAAAAGATAATCACTCTCAGTATCAGACCCAAACCAGCTCCATGCATTTCCCATACGCTTCTGCTGCATCACTCATCACCGAGGTACTGGGGGCACCTGACACACGGGAGCGGCGCTCTGCACGGGTGTCACCGGTACCTGGTCCCTGGACGTCCTGTCCGATGGCACCCTCCACCGAGGGACTAGAACGCCGTCGGGTCGCGGGGCAGCTAGTGCGCAGACCGGGATGACGGCCGCTCCACGAGGACGTCACTCAGCGCCCGGGAAACCGACCGCTGTTGAATACGAGGTGCCTCCGAGACCCGTAACGTACCTGGTCCGAAAGACACGACCATGCTTTGCCGGCCGCTCCCCTCTTGGGCGACGCCACCGGTGGTACCGGGGAGATCGTTGGTCGCTGTGCTTGAGCTTCTTCGGTGGAAGAGTGCTCGCATGGTTGTAAGCCATTAGTGACGCGGTAAACGAGACGTGTCGCACGTGGGTCTTTCACGTCGACGTTTACCCAGTGTATGTGGGAAGCTGGAGCAGCTGCACTTGGTGCGGCACCAATTTTTGGAACCTTTTTCTGGCCTTGCCAGATGGCTTTGTGCTCATTTTATTGCACATTCAGCCAAATCTCTCTCTTTTTTTCATTGTGAAATCCAGCTGGCCTGGGGTCATGAAGAAGAAACATTCCTCACTAGCCCACTTCCGATCCGAGATGGGTGCTGCCTCCTGACTGTGATTGTAGGATACATCGTCAACACACCGTCACCTCACCTTCGTCTCAATAACATGTACATTAGACAGATTTACGCGGCATGTAGCATAGAGTGAATGAAAACTTGGAGTCAAGCTTGATACTTGATCATGATGATGTATGAAATATTCCCAGAAGCCCTAAACATCATGTGCAATGCTCGCAATGCCCCCAATGCTCCCTCCAACTTTCAATGCCCGATATGACGTTCCACCTGACCTAAAATATCTTATAACCTTCCTTGCGCTCAGGCAGCGATGGAGGCTCCACACAGCGGGTTCCCGCGCTGACACCCTTCCTTCGCAAGTGCTCCAAGCTCTGCTTCTCTGTAGGTCGCGCCCCAACGCTCTCGTAGCCGCCCGGGACAGGTTGAAACTTCGCCGCGGAGTACGCCTTTGCGGAGAGTTCCGGTAAGGTATCTCCAATAGTTCCATGCTCGTTGACTGTACTGCCGGGGACACACTGAGCGCTGTTCCATGCGACATCAGTGACGGCATTCCACATCTTGGTGACACTCAACACAGTCTCAGGAGTGTAGAAGAGACGACAGTTGGCAGCCTCGTAGACAAAGTGCACCGGGGTTTCCGTATCATTTCTGCGATACGGATTCTGCATGTTCAGACTGAAAACCTGCAGATTGAGCGGCGGCTTGACAGACTAGGGAGAACCAAGTCGTAAGGCACTAGGCCTTTAGTGGCATTGAGTGCAATTCTCACAGCATCCTGAACGATTGTGTCATCTAGGACGACACCTCCCTTTGTGCCACCCATGGCCTGCATTGGTGCCGCAAGAGGTCTGCCACCGATCGCGACAGTCCGTATGTCACCTAATCGTTGCATCCAGCCAGTGAAGATTGGACAAGCGCTAGCACAGACCCCATCAGTGAGGATGATGATATATTCTGGATCTAGAGTCCCTGGCTTGAGTATAGACTTGTCAAGGTCTGGGAAAGCCTCAATGCTAGAGATGAGATTATTTGCAATGATCTCTGGGCAAGCATCTCCTCGGCTGATAAGTGGATGAGTTGCAAGTTGCACTTTGCAGCTGGAAGAATGATGCAACCGTAGATCATTCAACAAAACCCGCACAAGCTACAATAATTGTCTCTTCAAATTCATATGACGGTATTGTCCACAGAATCATCGGTATGGAGGAGTCGAAGATCTGCTTGAACGACAGGGGTAATGCTGCATACGCCAGAACTGTGAGAACTTGGCTACTGTTTGCAACGAGGTAAAACCCGACAGGTTACTAGCTTCGAGGATTTGCTCATACAGAAAAGAATGGTTCTTAGAGAGAGCCGAAGAGCAGAGGAGTCCGGACATTATATAGAAACACTGCTTGCATGTATTGGCTGAAACCTAAGCAGCGCAGTAAGAGCTCAACCCTTTTATTTGCACGGCGATTCCCAATTGTGCTACAGTGACAAGTACAAAGCAGAGGAAGGAGTGCAGATGTATTCTGGATGAAGTATGGGAAAGGGTTTGGTTTAGGACCCCAAAGAAGACAAAAATATTGGTCCCGGAGGGGATTGAACCCTCGACCTTCGCATTACAAATTACTCATTACTGAGGTATTAGTACGACGCGCTAACCAGCTGAGCCACGGAACCGTTGACCTCCTTGAAAGAGGTGTGGCTTGAATTGTTTTTTTTCACCGCTTATTATAACTCATTAGCTTATCTCCTCATCCTAGATCAGGTACACTAACACTTACTCCATCCACATGACTTCTCATGCATCGATACACCTACAGTATCTTGCCTTGGGAATGAAAATTTTTCGCTGAGAGAGATACCAACCAAGAATGGATGCTGATGTCTGCCTTGCAGCGATGCAGCAGCATTGCCGTCAATTGCATGGCACGCTTCGGGACCTCACATCACAGCTCGACAGTGGACAGGAGTCCGATGCAGTCACACAAGAGTCGGCGTTCCTTTCCGGGCCGGCATTAACAGCCCGGTTTGCGCAACACGCAGTAGCTCAGCTCAATCCCCAACAATTTCAGTCCCTAATTCGCTCATCATTCAACCAAGACCAGCTACATACGAAGTACATACTTTCTATGAGGAGGAACAGCGGCTCTCGGGTGGAGATCGTGATGGACTGGCTGAACCGTCCGGAAATCCAAGCGCGGATCTGGGTGTGATACTACATATGCAGAGTCGCGATGGTCAGATTGCAGGATTTTGGGACCGCGAATCTGCCACCATTCAGCTCCTGGATGGCAAAGGGGTCGCGGACGACAAGATATTTGGATACGATTGGCACTGGCGTGCTGAAGAAGCCAGCGATCGACACAATCCACGATGTCCCGCGACAGCCTGGAATAAGCCCCTCCGCAATCTCCACGGTGGTCTCTCAATCGGTATCATGGATCTGTTGCCTTTGCCTTTCGTTATCATTGGTGGTGGTTGCGCAAGGAGGAACTTCGAGAAGATCGTCACTGGCCACTTTCGGGCCGTGGAGATGGATTTGATTCCTCCGGACGGAAAGTTGAAGTTCTAGTTAGACTTCAATTCACCCAACATCGAGCTCAAGCGGGTCAACGTTTTGATCGACTCCCCTTCGGCGATATTCTACATCAAGCCGTCACTCCTTCGGAAGACAGCAACGTGCTTGGACGCTGGGCTTAACATACTGCTCTGGCTCCTTGGTATGGCGTACGACTGTACGTTCTTTCTCAGAAAAGCAACTGCTTGTCACTACACCCGGTTCGGTCCTTCTGGTCTCGACAGAGGTATGAAAGGTGCCTCCTTGGCAGAGCTACACGGGTATAGACGGCAAGAAGCAGCGGCTCAAAGACGACTCTCTCCTCACGAGCACACTCTTGAGTTTCTCTCATGGACCAAAAATTTTCTTGATGAAGATCCAACGGTTATCTATGACCGCGGTCTGTCTATAACTTCAACAATCCAGCAGAAAATTAGTGCCAAGATTCGTCAGACGACGTGAGAACGCCAGGCCGTTCGGGCAAAGGACCAACTATTCCTTTCTACTGAAATGGCTGGCCCGACTGAGTATAGCGCTGCCACAAGCGAAAACATTGCCGCTCAAACAGCCTCCAGCGCTGCGCGGTCACTAACGGACGACAAGACCCTCAGCAATGGAAAACTTGTTGTTACAGTGCAGGAAATCATGCAGGCCCTTGAATAGCTCGGATATGGGGCCAGTTCTCCCAACTCCCATGATGGTCCAGGCGAGGAGAGTCCATATGCTTGTCTCGATCCCAGCAGCCTGTTAGCCTTGGAGTATGAAATTGCTGCAGCCGAGGCATTGTACACATATCGAGTTGGTAATCTCAATCCCAACTTGGAAGACCCCGAACGGAAGCGCCTGATTCATAGCACGCAAAACGCATTGCGAGTCAAGACTCACAATGTAAGGAAACATTATGGGATTGCGATCAAGCCAAGAAAGACCAAAAGGGCTCCAAAACAAAAAGCAACAGAGACGGACATTGATAACAATTCACGACTGCCAGGGGAAGGAGAAGAACAGTTCACTTCGTATGTGACTGCTTTGTCAAAGGACACATCCTCCGCCGAGGAAAGTGACGAGATCAAAGACATAGTTTCGCCCCCCTATCGAGTAAGTCTGGTAACCCAGCATCATCGTCACACGGCGGGCCGTCAGTCCAGTCTGCCTCTGTCTGCCTTGTCGAAGGAGGAGCTTCCTATAACACGGGACCGCAATGAGCAGCGAAGAAGCTCTTCGAAGGCTTCTTATATACCTGTCAGGCGGCCAGGAACCGTATTTCTCTACCGTATGGGCTATCGGTTGGCATGCCGAAAGACGCCGACTTGGCACAGCTCTTCATTCGAAGCGTCCTTCTATCGGAGGGCAGTCGGCACGATCAAGTCTTCGCTACCGATGCGTCGCTTGGAGATCCTACCACTCGACTGGGGATCGAGTACGAGTATCTCGACCAAAGATGGCAAAAGACAAAATGGATTGGCCAAGACCTCTGGGTTGAAGAATGCAAAACGAACCAAAACCCTTGTGGATTTCCTCGAAGAAATAGACCTTGAATACACTGAGCAACAACCACGAAGGTTCCTAGGGAAGAATAAGGGTCGTGGACGGCCACGGGACACATTTACTGACGATATGGACTCTGACTTAGTTGCTGGAGACAAGGACATTGTCCAGCGGCCGGCTAGCACGAGAATGCAGTGATGAGTTTGGAACTGCTGAATACCAATCGAGGCCGTCATTTCAAGAGACTAGAAGTTGCCAGTTCCGACAGCGATCTCCAGTTAATTGGTCAAACTCCTATTTCAAAGTAGCGCTGTCTCCGCCAGAACTAGCAGTATGCTCCTGACGAAATCCTCGAGTACTAGAGGACATTTCCTAGGAGGATATAGTGTTTGGTCTTTCAAGACATAGTCTCATAGAAGCTTTTCATCTAGCAAGAATGAGAGGCAGATCATGGTGTCAGAAATATGTAAATAAAACGCAAGACAATACCTTGGAATTTCTCCTGATTGTGATAATACGATCCACTCCTTTCAGTCACTTTATTGCTTTTAAAAATATACTTTCTTCTCCTCTCTTCTTCATCATCCTCTTTTCTTCAAGCAATATTTTTATTTAATATTAGACCTGATCCGGCATAAGTTATCTCTTAACATTTGGACCTTTCAAGGAAAGAAACCGGATGTGCCTGGTACGAGATAGTCCTTCAGTACATACACTTTGAAGCATATTAAGGTTGCAGAACTCCCAACCCCTGTTCTGACGAGATCGAGAACCCGAATCCATTTCCTTCCGTCTCAGCTATACGGGAATCTAATGTCGGATCCGGTATGCAATAAAACCCATCCTCTTCCAAGGCTGTGGCCACCTCTTCACAGATGCCGTTCTCGACATCACGTATAACTCGTTGCCGAAGACAGAACCTGGTCTGCTCGCTATCCAGAGATTTCGGAAACCCCCGCATCACCTACGGCTCCCCAACTACGTCCCTTTTCCATGGTTCTGCCCAATGTGCTGCAATGTGCCCTGCATACCCTGCTTTTGCATGATTGTAGGGGCGACGGAGATCAAGGCCCAGGCAACTAGAGCTACTGCCTATCTGGCCGCCTCCCAAGCGGGAAGATTCGAGACTCTCTAGACAGTACCTCCTATACTATCTAGTAGTATTTCGCATAGTGAGGGAATCCCGGAAGAGCTGGTCGGAATGGGGAGCACCAGAGCAAAATCCTGGCCCGGGCAAATACGGCGTGTGGCCAACGTCCACTATCTAGTGTAGCAAATCTGCAACAAAGCTCCATCAACTTGTACATCTTGCCGTGTCTTTGCCAGAAGTATGTCTTATAGTTGCCTGCCATAGCTTACTTGCCTGCCTGCAGGAAAATGCACATGCAAACCAACAACATAAAGTTGGACACATCTAGGCCACCTGTCGGCCCATAACATTAGATGCTGCTGTACTCCAACCGCGTGATCTATGCCTTGCATGGCAGAAGGCTTGATTAAAGGACTGCTGCCTGTCACCCAGCTGGTACCCCCACCACGCTGCTGGGAGATAAATAACCTCCCAAGTAGTTTGTTGCTTTTTCCGGTCACCCATCACGAATCAACTCCTTATCTGACAAAATATTTCAATTAAACATATCCTTATCCGACATAGCAGCGCTCGTGGCTATACTACCTGATTTCCCTGTTCTTTATAGAGCCTTAGAGATTCGAAGCTTTCCGGAAAGCCATAAGCTATAAGAGGTCATCACCAAGGTATATATAGGAGATGGCTAATATTGCCAGTCTAGGTACAATAATCTACAAGACGATACCAATCAGCCTCCTATCGTCAACAAGCATATCTAGAACCTTACTAC